ACAGACAAAGATCCCCCAGGTAGCCTCTAGCAGGCTGTAGGGGCAAGTGCTGTTACTAGCACCTACACACAGACAAAGCTCCCCCAGGTAGCCTCTAACAGGCTGTAGGGGCAAGTGTTGTCAGTAGCACCTACACACAGACAAAGATCCCCCGGGTAGCCTCTAGCAGGCTGTAGGGGCAAGTGCTGTTAGTAGCACCTACACACAGACAAAGATCCCCCAGGTAGCCTCTAGCAGGCTGTAGGGGTAAGTGCTGTCAGACCCACAGACTCACCACTCACACAGAGACCCATAGACTCACCACTCACAGAGACCCATAGAATCACCACTCACACAGAGACTCATAGACTCACCACTCACACAGAGATCCATAGACTCACCACTCACACAGAGACCCATAGACTCACCACTCACACAGAGACCCATAGACTCACCACTCACACAGAGACCCATAGACTCACCACTCACACAGAGACCCATAGACTCACCACTCACACAGAGACCAATAGACTCACCACACACACAGAGACCCATAGACTCACCACTCACAGAGTGACCCATAGACTCACCACTCACACAGAGACCCATAGACTCACCACTCACACAGAGACCCACAGACTCACCACTCACACAGAGACCCATAGACTCACCACTCACACAGAGACCCATAGACTCACCACTCACACAGAGACCCATAGACTCACCACTCACACAGAGGCCCATAGACTCACCACTCACACAGAGACCCATAGACTCACCACTCACACAGAGACCCATAGACTCACCACACACACAGAGACCCATAGACTCACCACACATAGGCCCATAGACTCACCACTCACACAGAGACCCATAGACTCACTACTCACACAGAGACCCACAGACTCGCCACACAGAGAGCCATCGACTCACCACTCACACGGAGACCCATACACTCACCACTCACACAGAGACCCATAGACTCACCACTCACACAGAGACCCATAGACTCACCACTCACACAGAGGCCCATAGACTCACCACTCACACAGAGACCCATAGACTCACCACTCACACAGAGACCCATAGACTCACCACTCACACAGAGACCCATAGACTCACCACACACACAGAGACCCATAGACTCACCACACATAGGCCCATAGACTCACCACTCACACAGAGACCCATAGACTCACTACTCACACAGAGACCCACAGACTCGCCACACAGAGAGCCATCGACTCACCACTCACACGGAGACCCATAGACTCACCACTCACACAGAGAGGCATAGACTCGCCACTCACACAGAGACCCATAGTCTCACCACTCACACAGAGACCCATAGACTCACCACTCACACAGAGACCCATAGACTCACCACTCACACAGAGAGGCATAGACTCGCCACTCACACAGAGACCCATAGCCTCACCACTCACACAGAGACCCATAGACTCACCACTCACACAGAGGCCCATAGACTCACCACTCACACAGAGACCCATAGACTCACCACTCACACAGAGACCCATAGACTCACCACTCACACAGAGACCCATAGACTCACCGCTCACACAGAGACCCATAGACTCACCACACACACAGAGACCCATAGACTCACCACACATAGGCCCATAGACTCACCACTCACACAGAGACCCATAGACTCACTACTCACACAGAGACCCACAGACTCGCCACACAGAGAGCCATCGACTCACCACTCACACGGAGACCCATAGACTCACTACTCACACAGAGACCCACAGACTCGCCACACAGAGAGCCATCGACTCACCACTCACACAGAGACCCATAGACTCACCACTCACACAGAGGCCCATAGACTCACCACTCACACAGAGACCCATAGACTCACCACTCACACAGAGACCCATAGACTCACCACACACACAGAGACCCATAGACTCACCACACATAGGCCCATAGACTCACCACTCACACAGAGACCCATAGACTCACTACTCACACAGAGACCCACAGACTCGCCACACAGAGAGCCATCGACTCACCACTCACACGGAGACCCATACACTCACCACTCACACAGAGACCCATAGACTCACCACTCACACAGAGACCCATAGACTCACCACTCACACAGAGGCCCATAGACTCACCACTCACACAGAGACCCATAGACTCACCACTCACACAGAGACCCATAGACTCACCACTCACACAGAGACCCATAGACTCACCACACACACAGAGACCCATAGACTCACCACACATAGGCCCATAGACTCACCACTCACACAGAGACCCATAGACTCACTACTCACACAGAGACCCACAGACTCGCCACACAGAGAGCCATCGACTCACCACTCACACGGAGACCCATAGACTCACCACTCACACAGAGAGGCATAGACTCGCCACTCACACAGAGACCCATAGTCTCACCACTCACACAGAGACCCATAGACTCACCACTCACACAGAGACCCATAGACTCACCACTCACACAGAGAGGCATAGACTCGCCACTCACACAGAGACCCATAGCCTCACCACTCACACAGAGACCCATAGACTCGCCACTCACACAGAGACCCATAGACTCACCACTCACACAGAGACCCATAGACTCACCACTCACACAGAGACCCATAGACTCACTACTCACACAGAGACCCACAGACTCACCACTCACACAGAGACCCATAGACTCACTACTCACACAGAGACCCACAGACTCACCACTCACACAGTGACCTATAGACTCACCACACAGAGACACATAGACTCACCACTCACACAGAGACCCACAAACTCATCACTCACACAGAGACCGATAGACTCACCACTCACACAGAGACCCACAAACTCATCACTCACACAGAGACCCATAGGCTCACCACCACTCACACAGAGACCCACAGACTCACCACACAGAGACCCATAGACTCACTACTCACACAGAGACCCACAGACTCACCACACAGAGACCCACAGACTAACCACACAGAGACCCACAGACTCACAACACAGAGACCCACAGACTCACTACACAGACACCCACAGACTCACCACCCAGAGACCCACAGACTCACCACACAGAGACCCACAGACTCACCACACAGAGACCCACAGACTCACCACACAGAGACCCACAGACTCACCACACAGAGACCCACAGACTCACCACACAGAGACCCACAGACTCACCACAAAGAAACCGACAGACTCACCACACAGAGACCCACAGACTCACCACACAGAGACCCACAGACTCACCACACAGAGACCCACAGACTCAACACACAAAGACCCACATACTCACCACAAAGAGACCTACAGACTCACCACACAGAGACCCACAGACTCACCACACAGAGACCCACAGACTCACCACACAGAGACCCACAGACTCACCACACAGAGACCCACAGACTCACCACACAGAGAACCACAGACTCACCACACAGACCCATAGACTCACCACACAGAGAGCGACAGACTCACCACACAGAGACCCACACAGACTCACCACACAGAGACCCACAGACTCACCACACAGAGAGCCACAGACTCACCACACAGAGACCCACAGACTCACCACACAGAGACCCACAGACTCACCACTCACACAGAGACCCATAGGCTCACCACCACTCACACAGAGACCCACAGACTCACCACACAGAGACCCATAGACTCACTACTCACACAGAGACCCACAGACTCACCACACAGAGATCCACAGACTCACCACACAGACACCCACAGACTCACCACACAGAGACCCACAGACTCACCACACAGAGACCCACAGACTCACCACACAGAGACCCACAGACTCACCACACAGAGACCCATAGACTCACCACACAGAGACCCACAGACTCACCACACAGAGACCCACAGACTCACCACACAGAGACCCACAGACTCACCACACAGAGACCCACAGACTCACCACACAGAGACCCACAGACTCACCACACAGAGACCCACAGACTCACCATACAGAGACCCACAGACTCACCACACAGAGACCCACAGACTCACCACACAGAGACCCACAGACTCACCACTCACACAGAGACCCATAGGCTCACCACCACTCACACAGAGACCCACAGACTCACCACACAGAGACCCATAGACTCACTACTCACACAGAGACCCACAGACTCACCACACAGAGACCCACAGACTCACCACACAGAGACCCACAGACTCACCATACAGAGACCCACAGACTCACCACACAGAGACCCACAGACTCACCACACAGAGACCCACAGACTCACCACACAGAGACCCACAGACTCACCACACAGAGACCCACAGACTCACCACACAGAGACCCACAGACTCACCACACAGAGACCCACAGACTCACCACACAGAGACCCACAGACTCACCACACAGAGACCCACAGACTCACCACACACCCACTCTCTGTGACTGTCACCATGATGGTGATGATGGTAGTGGTGATGGTGGCGGTGATGGTGGTGGTGATGATGGTGATGGTGGTGATGGTGGTGATGATGGTGGTGATGATGATGGTGGTGATGGTGGTGGTGATGATGGTGATGATGGTGGTGATGGTGGTGGTGGTGATGGTGGCGATGATGATGGGGGTGATGGTGATGATGGTGGCGGTGATGGTGATGGTGGTGATGATGGTGATGGTGGCGGTGATGGTGATGATGGTAATGGTGATGATGTTGATGATGGTGGTGATGATGATGGTGATGATGGTAATGGTGTTGGTGATCCCGCCCATCACACGCCCACTCCCTTCCGAATAAATAGCCCAAGCAGACAGCCGACACGGGCAGAGAGAGGCTTACCCACCTACTCACCCACTCACCTACTCACCCAGATACTCACCCACCTACTCACCCACTCACCAACTCACCCAGCTACTCACCCACCCACCTACTCACCCAGCTACTCACCCACCTACTAACCCACTCACCTACTAACCCACTCACCTACTAACCCACTCACCTACTAACCCACTCACCTACTCACCTACTCACTCACCAACCCACTCACTCACCCACTCACCCACCCACCCACCACCCACACCACCAGCTGAGATGGCCTCGCCTGTGGACTTCTCCGGCACGTGGGAGATGGTGGCCAACGACAAGTGGGACGACTACATGAAAGTCCTGGGTAAGGTGTCACTCTGTGTGTTAGTGTGTGTTAGTGTGTGTGTGTTAGTGTGTGTGTGTTAGTGTGTGTGTGTTAGTGTGTGTGTGTGTTAGTGTGTGTGTTAGTGTGTGTGTTAGTGTGTGTGTGTGTTAGTGTGTGTGTGTTAGTGTATGTGTTAGTGTGTGTGTTAGTGTGTGTTAGTGTATGTTAGTGTGTTAGTGTGTGTTAGTGTGTGTGTATGTTAGTGTGTGTGTTAGTGTGTGTTAGTGTGTTAGTGTGTGTGTTAGTGTGTGTTAGTGTCTGTGTTAGTGTGTGTGTGTTAGTGTGTGTGTGTTAGTGTGTGTGTGTGTTAGTGTGTGTGTTAGTGTGTGTGTTAGTGTATGTTAGTGTGTTAGTGTGTGTTAGTGTGTGTGTATGTTAGTGTGTGTGTTAGTGTGTGTTAGTGTGTTAGTGTGTGTTAGTGTGTGTGTTAGTGTGTGTTAGTGTGTGTTAGTGTGTGTGTTAGTGTGTCACTGTGTGTGTTAGTGTTAGTGTGTGTTAGTGTGTGTGTATGTTAGTGTGTGTGTGTTAGTGTGTGTTAGTGTGTGTTAGTGTGATAGTGTGTGTGTTAGTGTGTGTTAGTGTGTGTGTTAGTGTGATAGTGTGTGTGTTAGTGTGTGTTAGTGTGTGTCTGTGTGTGTTAGTGTGTTAGTGTTAGTGTGTGTGTTAGTGTGTGTGTTAGTGTGTGTGTTAGTGTGATAGTGTGTTAGTGTGTGTTAGTGTGTGTGTGTCACTGTGTTAGTTTGTGTGTGTTAGTGTGTGTGTTAGTGTGTGTGTGTGTTAGTGTGTGTGTGTGTGTTAGTGTGTGTGTTAGTGTGTGTGTTAGTGTGTGTGTGTTAGTGTGTGTTAGTGTGTCTGTGTGTGTGTCTGTGTGTTAGTGTGTGTGTGTGTCTGTGTGTGTGTATGTGTGTGTCAGTGTGTGTGTATGTTAGTGACGATTATCTGAACCGGTCCCGGGCCTCCCCTAGGTCGACTCAGCCTCAAATGAGTACCTGGTGCGGTGTGTAAACATCGCCACTGGGGAGACAAAGGCGGTCGGGCGTGGTGCTGGCCACCCACCCCCTCGTGTACCGTTCCGGCCTTCATAGTGCTAACAGCACTTGCCCCTACAGTCTGCTAGAGGCTATATGGGGGACCTTTGTCCGTGTGTGTGTCTGTGTACGTATGTGTGTGTGTCTGTGTATGTATGTGTGTGTGTCTGTGTATGTATGTGTGTGTGTCTGTGTATGTATGTGTGTGTGTCTGTGTTTGTATGTGTGTGTGTCTGTGTATGTGTGTGTATGTGTGTATGTATGTGTGTCTGTGCATGTGTGTTTATGTGTGTGTGTCTGTGTATGTGTGTATGTGTCTGTGTATGTGTGTGTATGTGTGTATGTATGTGTGTCTGTGCATGTTTGTGTATGTGTGTATGTGTGTGTGTGTCTGTGTATGTGTGTGTGTGTCTGTGTATGTATGTGTGTGTGTCTGTGTATGTATGTGTGTATGTATGTGTCTGTGTATGTGTGTGTATGTGTGTATGTGTGTGTATGTGTGTATGTGTGTCTGTGTATGTATGTTTGTGTGTCTGTGTATGTATGTATGTGTGTCTGTTTATGTGTCTGTGTATGTATGTGTGTCTGTGTATGTATGTGTGTGTGTCTGTGTATGTGTGTGTATGTGTGTATGTGCATGTGTGTGTATGTGTGTGTCTGTGTATGTGTGTGTATGTGTGTATGTGTGTGTGTCTGTGCATGTGTGTATGTGTGTGTATGTGTGTGTGTCTGTGTATGTGTGTGTATGTGTGTATGTGTGTGTGTCTGTGCATGTGTGTATGTGTGTGTGTCTGTGCATGTCTGTGTATGTGTGCATGTGTGTGTATGTGGTATGTGTCTGTGTATGTGTGTGTATGTGTGTATGTGTCTGTGCATGTGTGTGTGTATGTGTGTGTGTCTGTGCATGTGTGTGTGTATGTGTGTGTGTGTGCATGTGTGTGTATGTGTGTATGTGTGTGTATGTGTGTATGTGTGTCTGTGTATGTGTGTGTGTCTGTTTGTGTATGTGTGTGTGTCTGTGTGTGTGTCTGTGTGTCTGTGTGTGAGTGGGGAGTGGTGGTGCTGTGGTTAGCGCACTGTGTGTGTCTGTGTGTGAGTGGGGAGTGGTGGTGCTGTGGTTAGCGCACTGTGTGTGTGTGAGTGGGGAGTGGTGGTGCTGTGGTTAGCGCACTGTGTGTGTCTGTGTGTGAGTGGGGAGTGGTGGTGCTGTGGTTAGCGCACTGTGTGTGTATGTGTGTGAGTGGGGAGTGGTGGTGCTGTGGTTAGCGCACTGTGAGTGTGAGTGGGGAGTGGTGGTGCAGTGGTTAGCGCACTGTGTGTGTGTCTGTGTGTTAGTGGGGAGTGGTGGTGCAGTGGTTAGCGCACTGTGTGTGTCTGTGTGTGAGAGTGGGGAGTGGTGGTGCTGTGGTTAGCGCACTGTGTGTGTCTGCGTGTGTGAGTGGGGAGTGGTGGTGCTGTGGTTAGCGCACTGTGTGTGTCTGTGAGTGGGGAGTGGTGGTGCTGTGGTTAGCGCACTGTGTGTGTCTGTGAGTGGGGAGTGGTGGTTGTTTGGTTAGCGCACTGCGTGTGTCTATGTGTGTGAGTGGGGAGTGGTGGTGCTGTGGTTAGCGCACTGTGTGTCTGTGTGTGGGGAGTGGTGGTGCTGTGGTTAGCGCACTGTTTGTGTCTGTGTGTGGGGAGTGGTGGTGCTGTGGTTAGCGCACTGTGTGTGTCTGTCAGTGGGGAGTGGTGGTGCTGTGGTTAGCGCCACGCTGCGCTATGAACCTGGTGACCCGAGTTCGATTCCCGCTCACGGCCATCACCGCCAGTGACGATTCTCTGAACCGGTCCTGGGCCTCCCCTAGGTCGACTCAGCCTCAAATGAGTAGCTGGTATAGCGGTGGTTGGTGGTGTAGTGGTGGTGTAGTGGTGGTAGTGGTGGTGGTAGTGGTGGTGGTGTAGTGGTGGTGGTAGTGGTGGTGGTGTAGTGGTGGTGGTGGTAGTGGTGGTAGTGGTAGTGGTGTAGTGGTGGTGTAGTGGTGGTGGTAGTGGTGGCGTAGTGGTGGTGGTGGTAGTGGTGGTGGTAGTGGTGGTGGTGTAGTGGTGGTGTAGTGGTGGTGGTAGTGGTGGTGGTGTAGTGGTGGTGTAGTGGTGGTGTAGTGGTGGTAGTGGTGGTGGTGTAGTGGTGATGGTCGTGGTGTAGTGAACATCGCCAGCACTGGGGGAGAGACAAAGGCGGCCGGGCGTGGTGGTGCTGGTGGCCACCCCCTCTGTGTGTGCCACAGTGCTGGTAGCCTTCATAGACGCTGCTACTCGCTACGTGGGTGACTGAGTGGGTGGGTGACTGAGTGAGTGGGTGAGTGAGTGGGTGGGTGAGTGACTGAGTGAGTGAGTGGGTGAGTGAGTGGGTGGGAGGGTGACTGGGTGAGTGGGTGAGTGAGTGGGAGGGTGAGTGAGTGGTGAGTGAGTGAGTGGGTGAGTGGTGAGTGAGTGAGTGGGTGACTGAGTGAGTGGGTGAGTGAGTGGGTGAGTGGGTGGGTGAGTGGGAAGGTGAGTGGGTGGGTGACTGGGTGAGTGAGTGAGTGGGTGAGTGGGTGAGTGGGTGGGTGAGTGGGTGAGTGAGTGGGTGAGTGGGTGGGTGACTGGGTGAGTGAGTGAGTGGGTGAGTGGGTGAGTGGGTGAGTGAGTGGGTGAGTGAGTGGGTGACTGGGTGAGTGAGTGAGTGGGTGAGTGAGTGAGTGGGTGAGTGGGTGGGTGAGTGAGTGGTGAGTGAGTGGGTGAGTGGGTGAGTGGGTGGGTGAGTGAGTGGGTGGGAGGGTGACTGGGTGAGTGGGTGAGTGAGTGGGAGGGTGAGTGAGTGGTGAGTGAGTGAGTGGGTGAGTGAGTGAGTGGGTGACTGAGTGAGTGGGTGAGTGGTTGAGTGAGTGGGTGGGTGAGTGAGTGGGTGAGTGGGTGGGTGAGTGGGAAGGTGAGTGGGTGGGTGACTGGGTGAGTGAGTGAGTGGGTGAGTGGGTGAGTGGGTGAGTGAGTGAGTGGGTGGGTGAGTGAGTGGGTGAGTGGGTGACAGGGTGAGTGGGTGAGTGACTGGGTGGGTGACTGGGTGAGTGAGTGGGTGACTGAGTGACTGGGTGAGTGAGTGGGAGGGTGAGTGGGTGAGTGGGTGACAGTGAGTCCACACACAGGGTAATAAGTTAACGGGACCTAATCACACGACCCCGCGTGTAACAATTCGCACATTTCATAACCCGTGAATCGCCCTGCCACTCGAGACGGGTCCGTAACCACAGCAGAGAGGGCGAGGGGGGGGGGAGTGGGGGGTGAGTGGGGGGAGTGGGGGGGGGTGGGGGGGGGGGGAGTGGGGGTGGGGGGGGAGGCTCCCGCTTGGGCCAATGGATGTCAAGGACAAATGTCCAGCAGCATTTTGGTGATTGGTGGAGTTGGATGGTCGACTCAGTCACTCACTCACTCAGTCACTCACTCACTCACTCAGTCACTCACTCACCCACTCACTCACTCAGTCACTCACTCAGTCACTCACTCACCCACTCACTCACTCAGTCACTCACTCAGTCACTCACTCACCCACTCACTCACTCACCCACTCACCCACTCACTCACTCATCCACTCACCCACTCACTCACTCACCCACTCACTCACCCACTCACCCACTCACTCACTCATCCACTCACTCACCCACTCACTCACCCACTCACTCACCCACTCACTCACTCACTCACCCACTCACTCACCCACTCACTCACTCACCGACTCACTCACGCACTCACCCACTAACTCACTCACCCATTCACTCACCCACTCACTCACTCACTCACCCACCCACTCACTCACCCACCCACTCACCCACTCACTCACTCACCCATTCACTCACTCACCCACCCACTCACTCACCCACTCACTCACTCACCCACTCACTCACTCACCCACCCACTCACCCACTCACTCACTCACCCATTCACTCACCCACTCACTCACTCACCCACTCACTCACTCACTCACCCACTCACTCACCCACTCACTCACCCACTCACTCACCCACTCACTCACTCACACACTCACTCACACACTCACTCACTCACCCACCCACTCACTCACCCACCCACTCACTCACCCACCCACTCACTCACTCACTCACCCACCCACTCACCCACTCACTCACTCACCCATTCACTCACCCACTCACTCACCACTCACTCACTCACTCACCCACTCACTCACCACTCACTCACTCACTCACACACTCACTCACTCACCCACTCACTCACTCACCCACTCACTCACTCACTCACACACTCACTCACTCACCCGCTCACTCACTCACCCGCTCACTCACTCACCCACTCACTCACTCACACACTCACTCACTCACCACTCACTCACACACTCACTCACTCACCCACTCACCCACTCACTCACTCACTCACACACTCACTCACTCACCCACTCACTCACTCACCCACCCACTCACTCACTCACTCACCCACCCACTCACCCACTCACTCACTTACCCACTCACTCACCCACTCACTCACCCACTCACTCACTCACCACTCACTCACTCACTCACCCACTCACTCACTCACACACTCACTCACACACTCACTCACACACCCACTCACTCACTCACTCACCCACTCACCCACCCACTCACTCACCACTCACTCACTCACTCACCCACTCACTCACTCACCCACTCACCCACTCACTCACACACTCACCCACTCACTCACACACTCACTCACACACTCACCCACTCACTCACACACTCACTCACTCACCCACTCACTCACTCACTAACCCACTCACTCACTCACCCACTCACTCACCCACTCACTCACTCACCCACTCACTCACCCACTCACTCACTCACCGACTCACCCACCCACCCACCCACTCACCCACCCACTCACTCACCCACTCACTCACCCACTCACCCACCCACCCAATCAACCACCCACCCACTCACTCACCCATTCACTCACTCACCCACCCACCCACTCACCCACCCACTCACTCACTCACTACCCACTCACCCACCCACTCACTCACTCACCCACCCACTCACTCACTCACCCACCCACTCACCCACCCACCCATTCACTCACCCACTCACTCACTCACTCACCCACCCACTCACCCCCACTCACTCACTCACTCACCCACCCACCCACTCACTCACCCACTCACTCACCCATTCACTCACTCACCCACTCACTCACCCACCCACCCACTCACCCACCCACTCACTCACTCACTCACCCACCCACTCACTCACCCACCCACCCATTCACTCACTCACTCACCCACTCACTCACTCACCCACCCACTCACTCACTCACCACTCACTCACCCACTCACTCACTCACCCACTCACTCACTCACACACTCACTCACTCACACACTCACTCACTCACCCACTCACTCACTCACCCACTCACCACTCACTCACTCACCCACTCACTCACTCACCCACTCACTCACTCACACACTCACCCACTCACTCACACACTCACTCACTCACTCACCCACTCACTCACCCACTCACTAACCCACTCACTCACCCACTCACTCACCCACTCACTCACTCACCCACTCACTCACCCACTCACTCACTCACCGACTCACCCACCCACCCACCCACTCACCCATCCACCCACCCACTCACTCACCCACTCACTCACCCACTCACCCACCCCACCCACCCACTCACCCACCCACCCACTCACTCACCCATTCACTCACTCACCCACCCACTCACCCACCCACTCACTCACCCACTCACTCACCACCCACTCACCCACCCACTCACTCACTCACTCACCCACCAACTCACTCACTCACTCACCCACCCACTCACCCACTCACTCACCCACCCACCCATTCACTCACCCACTCACTCACTCACTGACCCACCCACTCACCCCCACTCACTCACTCACCCACCCACCCACTCACTCACTCACCCACCCACCCACTCACTCACTCACCCACCCACCCATTCACTCACTCACCCACTCACCCCCACCCACTCACTCACCCATTCACTCACTCACCCACCCACTCACCCACCCACTCACACAATCACCCCCCACTCACCCACCCACTCACCCACCCAATCACTCGCTCACCCACTCACTCACCCACCCACTCACTCACTCACCCACTCACTCACCCACCCACTCACTCACCCACTCACTCACTCACCCACTCACTCACCCACTCACTCACTCACCGACTCACCCACCCACCCACCCACTCACCCCCCACTCACCCCCCACTCACCCTCACCCCCCCACCCCCACCCCAGACATCGACTTCGCCACCCGCAAGTTGGCCGGCCTCCTCAAGATCCGCAAGGAGGTGAAACAGGATGGTGATTCGTTCACCTTCAAGACGATGAGCTCGCTGAGAAACTACGACCTCTCTTTCACCGTCGGCGTCGAGTTTACGGAGCACACCAAGGGCCTGGACAACCGCACCGTGCAGGTGAGCGTTTGGTGAGGGTTTGGTGAGGGTTTGGTGAGGCGTTGGGTCGAGTTGCCACCCGTCCCGTTTTTTCGTAGTCAGACAACGTATTACATAGGCGAAATGTCATCCTGTAATCCTAGGTGGTAACCTCACATATCTAAGGTGGTAAGTAAGGGATCGAGTTCACAGATCACACCAAGGGCCTGGATAACCGCACCGTGCAGGGGAGCGTTTGGTGAGGGTTTGGTGAGGATTATGTGATGCCTGGGTCACGTTACCACCTGTCCCGTTTTTTGGCGTAGTCAATCAACGTATTGTATGGGCAAAATGTCATCCCATGTCATCCTAGGTGATAACCTCCCATATCTAAGGTGGTAAGTAATGGGTCGAGTTGACAGATGACATCAAGGGTCTAGACAACCGGATCGTGCAGGTGAGCGTTTGGTGAGCGTTTGGTGAGGATTTGGTGAGGCGTTGGGTCATGTTACCACCCGTCCCGTTTTTTTACGTAGTCACACAACGCATTGTATAGCCGAAATGTCATCCTGTCATCGTAGGTGGTAACCTCCCTTAACTAAGGTGGTAAGTAAGGGGTCGAGTTTACAGATTAGACCAAGGGTCTAGGCAACCGCATCGTGCAGGTGAGCGTTTGGTGAGTGTTTGGTGAGCGTTCGGTGAGGGTTTGGTGAGGCATTGGTTTATGTTGCCACCCGTCCCGTTTTGTGCGTAGTCAATCAACGTATTGTATAGGCGAAATGTCAACCTGTCATCCTAGGTGGCAACTGATGATAACTAAGGTGGTTAGTAAGAGATCGAGTTGACAGATTACACCAAGGGTCTAGACCACCGGATCGTGCAGGTGAGGGTTTGGTGAGCGTTTGGTGAGTGTTTGGTGAGGCGTTGGATGATGTTACCACCCGTCCCGTTTTTTTACGTAGTCACACAACGCATTGTATAGGCGAAATGTCATCCTTTCATCCTAGGTGGTAACCTCCCATATCTAAGGTGGTAAGTAAGGGATCGAGATCACAGATTACACCAAGGGTCTGGACAACCGCACAGTGCTGGTGAGCGTTTGATGAGGGTTTGGTGAGGCGTTAGATCATGTTGCCACCTGTCCCGTTTTTTTAACGTAGTCAAACAGTGTATTGTACGGGCGAAATGTCATCCTGTCATCCTAGGTGGTAACCTAGGATAACTAAGGTAATTAGTAAGGGATCGAGATCACAGATGATACCAAGGGTCTGGACAACCGCATCGTGTAAGTGAGCGTTTGGTGAGCGTTTGGTGAGGCGTTTGGTGAGGCGTTGGGATAGGTTGCCTCCCGTCACGTTTTTATCCGGGACGTTGGGTTGAGTTGCCCGATGTCATCCTAGGTGGTAACCTGCGATCACGGCGCGGATGTCCAAGGGTCTGGACATCCGCGCCGTGCAGGTGAGGAATTTGGTGAGGGTTGGTGACGGTTGGTGACGGTTGGTGAGGGTTGGTGAGGTGTTGGGTGAAGTTGCCACCCGTCCCGTTTTCCCCGTAATCGAACAGCGCATCATGTCAATGTGTCTCTCTGCGCGTGTCTGTGTCTCTCTCTGTTTGTGTCTCTGTCTCTCTGTGTCTCACTCTCTCTGTCTCTCTCTCTGTCTCACTCTCTGTCTCACTGTGTCTCTCTCTGTCTCACTCTCTGTCTCACTCTCTGTCTCACTGTGTCTCACCGTGTCTCTCTCTGTCTCTCTCTCTATCTCTCTCTGCGCGTGTCTGTGTCTCTCTCTGTCTCTCTCTCTGTCTCTCTCTGTCTCTCTCTCTGTCTCTCTCTCTGTCTCACTCTCTGTGCGTATCTGTCTCACCGTGTCTCTCTGTCTCTCTCTCCGTATCTCTGTCTCTCTGTCTCTGTCTCTCTCTGTCTCTCTGTTTCTCTGTCTCTCTCTCTCTGTACGTATCTGTGTCTCACCGTGTCTCTCTCCGTCTCTCTGTCTCTCTGTCTCTCTGTCTCACTCTCTGTGCGTGTCTCTCTCTGTGCGTGTCTGTGTCTCACTCTGTTGGTGTCTCTGTCTGTCTCTGTCTCACTGTGTGTCTCTCTGTCTCACTCCCTGTGCGTGTCTGTGTCTCACTGTGTCTCTCTCTGTCTCTCTCTGTCTCTCACTCTCTGTGCATGTATCTCTCTGTGCGTGTCTGTGTCTCACTGTGTCTCTCTGTGTCTCACTGTGTCTCTCTCTCTCTCACTGTCTCGCTCTCTGTCTCACTCTCTGTGCGTGTCTGTGTCTCACTCTGTTTGTGTCTCACTCTCTGTGCGTGTCTCATTCTGTCTCTGTGTCTCACTCTGTGTATCACTCTGTCTCACTGTCTCGCTGTGTGTCTGTGTGTCACTGTGCGTCTCACTGTGTCTCTGTGTCTCACTGTGTCTCTCTATGTGTGTCTGTGTCTCACTGTCTCTCTCTGTGTCTCACTGTGTCTCTGTGTGTCTCACTGTCTCACTGTGTCTCTGTGTGTCTCTGTGTGTCTCTGTGTCTCACTGTGTCTCACTGTGTGTCTCTGTGTCTCACTGTGTGTCTCTGTGTCTCACTGTGTGTCTCTGTGTCTTACCAAGACCACGGTGCGCTGGGAGGGTGAGCGACTTGTCTGTGAACAGAAGGGAGAGAAACCTGGCCGGGGATGGTCTCACTGGATACAGGATGGGCAGCTGCACCTGGTGAGGAGTTGACACTCAACAACACCACTCACCACTCACCACCACTACTCACTCACCACCACTCACCACTCACCACCACTCACCACTCACCACCACTCACCACTCACCACCACTCACCACTCACCACCACCACTCACCACTCCTCACTCACCACCACTGACCATTCACCACCACTCACCACCACTACTCACTCACCACCACTCCTCACCACTCCTCACTCACCACCACTCACCACTCACCACCACTCCTCACTCACCACCACGACTACCCACTCCTCACTCACCACCACTCACCACCACTCCTCACTCACCACCACTCCTCACTCACCACCACTCACCACTCACCACCACTACTCACTCACCACCACGACTACCCACTCCTCACTCACCACCACTCCTCACCACTCCTCACTCACCACCACTCCTCACCACTCCTCACTCACCACCACTCACCACTCCTCACCACTCCTCACTCACCACTACTCCTTACCACTCCTCACTCACCACCACTCACCACTACTCGCCACTCCTCACCGCCACACTATACACTCACCACTGCTCACCACCACTACCAACACATCCGGTTGTGTGTGTGAGTGCTTGTGTTTGTGAGTAAGTGGTTGTGTGTGTGAGTGTGTGAGTGAGTGAGCGGTCGTGTGTGTGAGTGCCGGACGGGCAACTCTGTCGTGGACAATGCTGTGGGGGGAGGGCCAATTCCGATTGGCTCCTCCCCTCATGGCGTCTGTGACCACCACAGGGGCTAAACGGGGGCTCTGGATGGGTGCGAGGGGCTGGTAACCCCTCCACCTTCAATTAATTACCACGAAACTACGACTTAAACTTAAATATGTAACTAATAAGCTTGTGCCGGAGGCCCCGGGGGGACAGGCGTCTATGACGTCTCCTGGCCAAACCCCAATTGGCGGAGCCAGGAGATTGAATCTCTACCCTCGGGGCTCCTCCAGAAACAACGAAAAGCCACTACGGATGGCCACGTGGAATGTTCGAACGCTCACTGCGGCGGAGAGGCTGCCACTCCTCTGTCGGGAGCTGGACCGGTACCGCCTGGATCTCTGTGGCATTCAGGAGGTCCGGTGGACCGGTTCTGGCTCCTGCCACCATGAGGGGTGGACAGTTCTCTACTCGGGGAAGGAGACTGCCAAACAACAGGGTGTGGCTCTTCTTTTGAACAAAAGAATGAAGGGGGCGTGGGAGCGTGGCGGTGAGGTGTGGGAAGCTGTAAGCCCCAGGCTACTTTGGGCTCGCCTTCCCATCAATCGGAGGCGAGGAGTGGTGGTCGTGGTTACTTATGCCCCCACCGAAGACGAACATCCGTGGAGGGATGCAGGCAAAGCCGATGAGTCAGATGCCTTCTATGACCTCCTGTCACAGGTGCTGGCTAAAGTGGCCCCTCGGGATAGAGTCATCATGTTGGGTGACTTCAATGCCCGAGTTGGTCATGATACCGGCACCTGGACTGGAGTGATTGGAGGGCATGGGCCGGATCAGCTTAATAACAACGGTAGGAGGCTGCTAGATTGTTGTGCAGCCCATGGGCTTGTAATTACCAACACGCTGTTCCGGCATCGGCGCATCCACACAACATCATGAATGCATGCCGAGTCCAAGCAAGAACATCTGCTGGACTACATAGTGACGGACCAGCGGATGCGAGCCCAGGTCCTTAACACCAGGACCTACCGTGGAGCTGATCTGCCCTCTGACCATCGACTTGTCATCTGTAAGATGTGCCGCCCATTCTTCCGCTCCGGTGGTGGGTGTACACCCAGGACCCCATTCCAACCTAAAGTGGCCTGGTCTCAGTTATCTGATGAAAGTTGCAAGCGAGAATTTCATCATCACCTGCGGCTGGGGTTGGCATCGTCCCCCACTCCTCCTGATGTCAAGGGAAAATGGGTGAGGTTTAGAACTGTGACTCATGCGGCTGCAATGTCTGCTTTGGGTACGCGGTCCAGACCTCCCCAGAGACCCTGGCTGACAGAGGTGTTCAGGATGGTTGAGAAAAAGCGACAGGCCCACTGTCATCAGCTACAGAATCCCACATCAGAGAATGAGGAGGCTTACCGCAACCTTCGCTCGGAGGTTCGGAGAGCCGTGAGGCGCTGCAAGGATGGGTGGTGGTCGCGGGTTGCTGAGGAGATGGAGTCTGCCTCAGTGGCCCGTGATCACAAATCTCTATTTAACTCCATCAAAAAAGTAACCTGCAGCGCCACACCTATTATCATCATTAGGGGAAAAACGGTGACCCAATCTCCGACTCCCAGGAACAGGTTTGCAGATTTGCTGAGCATTTCTGTGAGGTCCTGGGGGAGGGAAAATCCCTCAGACAGGAAACATCGTGGCACAAAATGAGGATGACCCTGCTGAGGCTGCGGTGCCTCAAATATTGGAAGAAGTCACCCCCTGTGAGTGGCTGGCTGAAGTGCCATCTGTTTAGGAAGTACTGAGGGCGATCCGGAGTCTGAGACCAGGAAAGGCAGCGGGCAGAGATGATCTCCCAAGCGAAATGCTGAGGGAGGGTGGAGTTTGTGCACAGACTGCCCTATATGACATCAAAACAACAGTCTGGACCACTGGACGGGTTCCGCAGGATTGGACGGATGCCCTGGTGGTCCCCCTCTTTAAGAAGGGGGACCGCACAGACTGTAACAACTACAGGGGCATCTCACTCCTCAGTGTGCCGGGAAAGGTCCTGGCAAGGATTATTCAACATCGCTTTGCCAGGTACGCTGAGGAGAGGCTTGCGGAGTCCCAATGCGGTTTCAAGAAAGGGCGGTCCTGCACAGATGCCATATTTTCTGTCCGTCTACTACAGCAGAGGTGTAGGGAATTCCAGCAAGACCTACATCTCTGCTTTATTGACCTGGTCAAGGCCTATGATACCATCATTAGGCCTGGGCTCTGGGTTGTTCTTCGTGCTTTTGGAGTACCTGACCCTCTGCTCACGATCATTAAGGACCTTCATGATGGTGAGCGGGCCCGGGTAAAACTACGTGGCGGGGAGTCAGAGCCATTCCCTGTACACCTTGGGGTGCGACAGGGATGTCCTCTGGCTCCCACATTATTTAACATCTATTTTGACCACGAAGTTCGTGAAGCCTTCAATAGCTGTACCGGGGGAATTTCCATCTGGTACAGTTACAATGGGAGGCTAATCGATGCCCGGGTGCGGTCAAGGGATGGCTCCCTATTGCTCAACCACGTTATGTATGCTGATGATTTGGTAATAGCTGCTCATTCAGAGGAGGAGATGGAGACGCTGCTGCTGAGACTGGAGCGTGCCACTAAGAGGTGGGGCCTTACCATCAGCCCCACCAAAACTAAGCACCTCCCAGGGTATTTTGTACCATCGGGCACTCCACCCCCACAACTCCCAATCGGTGATGGGGCAGTTGTGGAGAGAGTGGAGAGTTTCCCATACCTGGGCAGTGTGCTTATGACCGGCTCCAATTTAACAGCAGAGGTCTCACTCCGAATCAGTCGAGCGGAAATATATTTTCATCGGTTGCGTAACGCTGTGTGGAAGCTACCTGGTCTGTCGCTCCGCACTAAGCTTCAGGTCTTCTCGGCCACGGTCATTCCCTCCCTTCTCTACGCTTGCGAAACGTGGACCCCCCTAATGGAACATCTTCACCAGTTAGAAACATTTAGGCTGGCCTGCTTACGATTCATCCCGGGTTTAACCAGGCTGGATTGTGTGAGGAGCTCACAAATCCTCTAAAGATCTGGACAAAATCCCATCGGTGAGCTCCTCCGGCAGGCAAGGCTGCGTTGGCTGGGTCATGTAGCCCGCATGCCCAGCTACCGCATGCCGAAACAGCTTTTGTTCGGCCGGATCGAGGGGGCTAAACGGGCGCGGCACGTGCTAGAGAAGAGATGGAGTGATGTGGTACAGGAGGACGTGGAGCTGAGTGGACTTGCCGATGACTGGTACCAGCGGTGTCAAGATCGACCTCTGTGGAGGAGGCTCGTGAAGGACGCTACTGGGCAGTTGGAGGCAGTCGCCCTCCAACAACAACGGAGGGCGGAGGAGCGACGCTCAGAACAACGAGCGGAGCGCCGGGTGGCTAAAGCACAGCAGATTGGCACAGTAGGGGGCACAGGTGGTGCATCAGCCAGTCATCTCAGTCAGTCGACCCTGGCACCTGGGTCTGCCCAGTGACCTCCTGCCAGCGGGCGTTCGACACTTCACGTGGCCTCACGGTGCACATAGCCTGGCACAAGCGTCGTGGTGACGTCACCGCCACTTAGTGGCGAATGGCGGTTGTTGTTGTTGTGTCTATGTGTGTGTGTGACTGTGTGTGTGTCTGTGTGTGCTCTGTGTGTCTGTGTGTGTGTCTGTGTGTCTGTGTGTGTCTGTGTGTGTCTGTGTGTGTGTGCTCTGTGTGTCTGTGTGACTGTGTGTCTGTGTGACTGTGTGTGTCTGTGTGTGTGTGTATCTGTGTCTGTGTGTGTCTGTGTGACTGTGTGTGTCTGTGTGTGCTCTGTGTGTCTCCAGGAGCTGACTTGTGATGGCGTGGTTTGCAAGCAAGTGTTCAAGAAGGCCTAGACACAGCCACCATCATCACCAGCACCACCACCACCCAGCCCCTCCCCACCATCCTACCCTCCCCACCCTCCCCACCTAGCCCCACCCACCCCACCCCCCCCCCCCCCCCCCCCCTCCCCACCAACCCCACCCTACCCCCCACCCTCCCCACCCTCCCCACCTAGCCCCTCCCCACCCATGTTTGGATGCACGACTTACGGACACAACAACAACAATCCCCTGTGGGCTGGTGGTGGTGGTGTAGTAACCAGGAGGTTCCTACACAGTAAAATAATAATTACCATATACACACACATTGTAAACAACAAATCGTGACGTCTTTGTGTTTCTACGTAAGGTTCTGAGGTAAAATAATAATTACCTTATACACACAAATTGTAAACACCAACAACAAATCGTGACGTCTTTGTGTTTCTACGTAAGGTTCTGAGGTAAAATAATAATTACCTTATACACACGAATTGTAAACACCAACAACAAATCGTGACGTCTTTGTGTTGCTACGTAAGGTTCTGAGGTAAAATAATAATTACCTTATACACACGAATTGTAAACAACAACAAATCGTGACGTCTTTGTGTTTCTACGTAAGGTTCTGAGGTAAAATAATAATTACCTTATACACACAAATTGTAAACAACAACAAATCGTGACGTCTTTGTGTTTCTAAGTAAGATTCTGAGGTAAAATAATAATTACCTTATACACACGAATTGTAAACAACAACAAATCGTGACGTCTTTGTGTTTCTACGTAAGAGTCTGAGGTTAAATAATAATTACCTTATACACACGAATTGTAAAGAACAACAAATCGTGACGTCTTTGTGTTTCTACGTAAGATTCTGAGGTAAAATAATAATGACCTTATACACACGAATTGTAAACACCAACAACAAATCGTGACGTCTGTGTGTTTCTACGTAAGATTCTGAGGTGAAATAATAATTACCTTATACACACGAATTGTGAACAACAACAAATCGTGACGTGATTGTGTTTCTACGTAAGATTCTGAGGTAAAATTATAATTACCTTATACACACGAATTGTAAACAACAATAACAAATCGTGACGTCTGTGTTTCTACGTAAGAGTCTGAGGTGAAATAATAATTACCATATACACACGAATTGTAAACAACAACAACAAATCGTGATGTCTTTGTGTTTCTACGTAAGGTTCTGAGGTAAAATAATAATTACCTTATACACACGAATTGTAAACAACAACAAATCGTGACGTCTTTGTGTTTCTACGTAAGAGTCTGAGGTAAAATAATAATAATTACCTTATACACACGAATTGTAAACAACAACAAATCGTGACGTCTTTGTGTTTCTACGTAAGGTTCTGAGGTAAAATAATAATTACCTTATACACACGAATTGTAAACAACAACAAATCGTGACGTCTTTGTGTTTCTACGTAAGAGTCTGAGGTAAAATAATAATTACCATATACACACGAATTGTAAACAACAACAAATCGTGACGTCTTTGTGTTTCTACGTAAGGTTCTGAGGTAAAATAATAATTACCTTAGTTTAACACGTAGGCTTTCGCGACCAATATTATTCATAATAAAGGTTTTTGGGTTAGATCGCGTTTATTTATAAATGTGTCGTAACCCTCCACCACCCGACACGGCCAATCAGCAAAGAAAAGTGTCACGTTGACAAAAGACAAATAATTCACTACTTCAGCCCACCGGTGTGTTGAAGAGTGAATCCACATTTACAGTTTGAGTACGACGTTTCGCTGGTAAATACATCCAGCATCATCGGGCAATTCGCCAGAATGGTAAAGCCCTCGCTTGCTCCCGGTTTTATATAGAGCAGAAGAGTGACGTCATCACTTAACTCATCAGGTGCAGTGATTAGAGGCTGAGGGGGGGGGTATTGTAATTATATAATCGATTAGTAATCAGTCATTGGTTATGATTAGTAATGAGTTGTAGATTAGTAATTCTTTAAATCAAAATGTAATGTGTATTATTTAATAATACGCTTCCAGGCCGCACTAAGCCGGTAGCTGTCAGAGCGATTAAAGTTATTCTTGTTCCTCTCAATTTCAATGGATTCTCTAATTAGTCTTTGCCAGTAATAATTACCTTATACACACGAATTGTAAACAACAACAACAAATCGTGACGTGATTGTGTTTCTACGTAAGATTCTGAGGTAAAATAATAATTACCTTATACACACGAATTGTAAACAACAACAAATCGTGACGTCTTTGTGTTTATACGTAAGATTCTGAGGTAAAATAATAATTACCTTATACACACGAATTGTAAACAACAAATCGTGACGTCTTTGTGTTTCTACGTAAGAGTCTGAGGTAAAATAATAATTACCTTATAAACACGAATTGTAAACACCAACAACAAATCGTGACGTCTTTGTGTTTCTACATAAGATTCTGAGGTAAAATAATAATTACCTTATACACACGAATTGTAAAGAACAACAAATCGTGACGTCTTTGTGTTTCTACGTAAGATTCTGAGGTAAAATAATAATTACCTTATACACACGAATTGTAAACAACAACAAATCGTGACGTCTTTGTGTTTCTACGTAAGATTCTGAGGTAAAATAATAATTACCTTATACACACGAATTGTAAACAACAACAAATCGTGACGTCTTTGTGTTTCTACGTAAGAGTCTGAGGTAAAATAATAATTACCTTATACACACGAATTGTAAACACCAACAACAAATCGTGACGTCTTTGTGTTTCTACGTAAGATTCTGAGGTAAAATAATAATTACCTTATACACACGAATTGTAAACAACAACAAATCGTGACGTCTTTGTGTTTCTACGTAAGTCTGAGGTAAAATAATAATTACCTTATACACACGAATTGTAAACAACAACAGATCGTGACGTCTTTGTGTTTCTACGTAAGATTCTGAGGTAAAATTATAATTACCTTATACACACGAATTGTAAACACCAACAACAACAAATCGTGACGTCTTTGTGTTTCTACGTAAGATTCTGAGGTAAAATAATAATTACCTTATACACACGAATTGTAAACAACAACAAATCGTGACGTCTTTGTGTTTCTACGTAAGTCTGAGGTAAAATCATAATTACCTCATACACACGAATTGTAAACAACAACAAATCGTGACGTCTTTGTGTTTCTACGTAAGGTTCCGAGGTAAAATAATAATTACCTTATACACACGAATTGTAAACAACAAATCGTGACGTCTTTGTGTTTCTACGTAAGATTCTGAGGTAAAATAATTATTACCTTATACACACAAATTGTAAACAACAACAACAAATCGTGACGTCTTTGTGTTTCTACGTAAGGTTCTGAGGTAAAATAATAATTACCTTATACACACGAATTGTAAACAACAACAAATCGTGACGTGATTGTGTTTCTACGTAAGGTTCTGAGGTAAAATAATAATTACCTTATACACACGAATTGTAAACAACAACAACAAATCGTGACGTCTTTGTGTTTCTACGTAAGATTCTGAGGTAAAATAATAATTACCTTATACACACGAATTGTAAACAACAACAAATCGTGACGTCTTTGTGTTTCTACGTAAGATTCTGAGGTAAAATAATAATTACCTTATACACACGAATTGTAAACAACAACAAATCGTGACGTCTTTGTGTTTCTACGTAAGATTCTGAGGTAAAATAATAATTACCTTATACACACGAATTGTAAACACCAACAACAACAAATCGTGACGTCTTTGTGTTTCTACGTAAGATTCTGAGGTAAAATAATAATTACCTTATACACACGAATTGTAAACAACAACAAATCGTGACGTCTTTGTTTCTACGTAAGGTTCCGAGGTAAAATAATAATTACCTTATACACACGAATTGTAAACAACAAATCGTGACGTCTTTGTGTTTCTACGTAAGATTCTGAGGTAAAATAATTATTACCTTATACACACAAATTGTAAACAACAACAAATCGTGACGTCTTTGTGTTTCTACGTAAGGTTCTGAGGTAAAATAATAATTACCTTATACACACGAATTGTAAACAACAACAAATCGTGACGTGATTGTGTTTCTACGTAAGGTTCTGAGGTAAAATAATAATTACCTTATACACACGAATTGTAAACAACAACAAATCGTGACGTCTTTGTGTTTCTACGTAAGAGTCTGAGGTAAAATAATAATTACCTTATACACACGAATTGTAAACAACAACAAATCGTGACGTCTTTGTGTTTCTACGTAAGGTTCTGAGGTAAAATAATAATTACCTTATACACACGAATTGTAAACAACAACAAATCGTGACGTCTTTGTGTTTCTACGTAAGAGTCTGAGGTAAAATAATAATTACCATATACACACGAATTGTAAACAACAACAAATCGTGACGTCTTTGTGTTTCTACGTAAGGTTCTGAGGTAAAATAATAATTACCTTAGTTTAACACGTAGGCTTTCGCGACCAATATTATTCATAATAAAGGTTTTTGGGTTAGATCGCGTTTATTTATAAATGTGTCGTAACCCTCCACCACCCGACACGGCCAATCAGCAAAGAAAAGTGTCACGTTGACAAAAGACAAATAATTCACTACTTCAGCCCACCGGTGTGTTGAAGAGTGAATCCACATTTACAGTTTGAGTACGACGTTTCGCTGGTAAATACATCCAGCATCATCGGGCAATTCACCAGAATGGTAAAGCCCTCGCTTGCTCCCGGTTTTATATAGAGCAGAAGAGTGACGTCATCACTTAACTCATCAGGTGCAGTGATTAGAGGCTGAGGGGGGGGGTATTGTAATTATATAATCGATTAGTAATCAGTCATTGGTTATGATTAGTAATGAGTTGTAGATTAGTAATTCTTTAAATCAAAATGTAATGTGTATTATTTAATAATACGCTTCCAGGCCGCACTAAGCCGGTAGCTGTCAGAGCGATTAAAGTTATTCTTGTTCCTCTCAATTTCAATGGATTCTCTAATTAGTCTTTGCCAGTAATAATTACCTTATACACACGAATTGTAAACAACAACAACAAATCGTGACGTGATTGTGTTTCTACGTAAGATTCTGAGGTAAAATAATAATTACCTTATACACACGAATTGTAAACAACAACAAATCGTGACGTCTTTGTGTTTATACGTAAGATTCTGAGGTAAAATAATAATTACCTTATACACACGAATTGTAAACAACAAATCGTGACGTCTTTGTGTTTCTACGTAAGAGTCTGAGGTAAAATAATAATTACCTTATAAACACGAATTGTAAACACCAACAACAAATCGTGACGTCTTTGTGTTTCTACATAAGATTCTGAGGTAAAATAATAATTACCTTATACACACGAATTGTAAAGAACAACAAATCGTGACGTCTTTGTGTTTCTACGTAAGATTCTGAGGTAAAATAATAATTACCTTATACACACGAATTGTAAACAACAACAAATCGTGACGTCTTTGTGTTTCTACGTAAGATTCTGAGGTAAAATAATAATTACCTTATACACACGAATTGTAAACAACAACAAATCGTGACGTCTTTGTGTTTCTACGTAAGAGTCTGAGGTAAAATAATAATTACCTTATACACACGAATTGTAAACACCAACAACAAATCGTGACGTCTTTGTGTTTCTACGTAAGATTCTGAGGTAAAATAATAATTACCTTATACACACGAATTGTAAACAACAACAAATCGTGACGTCTTTGTGTTTCTACGTAAGTCTGAGGTAAAATAATAATTACCTTATACACACGAATTGTAAACAACAACAGATCGTGACGTCTTTGTGTTTCTACGTAAGATTCTGAGGTAAAATTATAATTACCTTATACACACGAATTGTAAACACCAACAACAACAAATCGTGACGTCTTTGTGTTTCTACGTAAGATTCTGAGGTAAAATAATAATTACCTTATACACACGAATTGTAAACAACAACAAATCGTGACGTCTTTGTGTTTCTACGTAAGTCTGAGGTAAAATCATAATTACCTCATACACACGAATTGTAAACAACAACAAATCGTGACGTCTTTGTGTTTCTACGTAAGGTTCCGAGGTAAAATAATAATTACCTTATACACACGAATTGTAAACAACAAATCGTGACGTCTTTGTGTTTCTACGTAAGATTCTGAGGTAAAATAATTATTACCTTATACACACAAATTGTAAACAACAACAACAAATCGTGACGTCTTTGTGTTTCTACGTAAGGTTCTGAGGTAAAATAATAATTACCTTATACACACGAATTGTAAACAACAACAAATCGTGACGTGATTGTGTTTCTACGTAAGGTTCTGAGGTAAAATAATAATTACCTTATACACACGAATTGTAAACAACAACAACAAATCGTGACGTCTTTGTGTTTCTACGTAAGATTCTGAGGTAAAATAATAATTACCTTATACACACGAATTGTAAACAACAACAAATCGTGACGTCTTTGTGTTTCTACGTAAGATTCTGAGGTAAAATAATAATTACCTTATACACACGAATTGTAAACAACAACAAATCGTGACGTCTTTGTGTTTCTACGTAAGATTCTGAGGTAAAATAATAATTACCTTATACACACGAATTGTAAACACCAACAACAACAAATCGTGACGTCTTTGTGTTTCTACGTAAGATTCTGAGGTAAAATAATAATTACCTTATACACACGAATTGTAAACAACAACAAATCGTGACGTCTTTGTTTCTACGTAAGGTTCCGAGGTAAAATAATAATTACCTTATACACACGAATTGTAAACAACAAATCGTGACGTCTTTGTGTTTCTACGTAAGATTCTGAGGTAAAATAATTATTACCTTATACACACAAATTGTAAACAACAACAAATCGTGACGTCTTTGTGTTTCTACGTAAGGTTCTGAGGTAAAATAATAATTACCTTATACACACGAATTGTAAACAACAACAAATCGTGACGTGATTGTGTTTCTACGTAAGGTTCTGAGGTAAAATAATAATTACCTTATACACACGAATTGTAAACAACAACAAATCGTGACGTCTTTGTGTTTCTACGTAAGATTCTGAGGTAAAATAATAATTACCTTATACACACGAATTGTAAACAACAACAAATCGTGACGTCTTTGTTTCTACGTAAGGTTCCGAGGTAAAATAATAATTACCTTATACACACGAATTGTAAACAACAAATCGTGACGTCTTTGTGTTTCTACGTAAGATTCTGAGGTAAAATAATTATTACCTTATACACACAAATTGTAAACAACAACAAATCGTGACGTCTTTGTGTTTCTACGTAAGGTTCTGAGGTAAAATAATAATTACCTTATACACACGAATTGTAAACAACAACAAATCGTGACGTGATTGTGTTTCTACGTAAGGTTCTGAGGTAAAATAATAATTACCTTATACACACGAATTGTAAACAACAACAAATCGTGACGTCTTTGTGTTTCTACGTAAGATTCTGAGGTAAAATAATAATTACCTTATACACACGAATTGTAAACAACAAATCGTGACGTGATTGTGTTTCTACGTAAGGTTCTGAGGTAAAATAATAATTACCTTATACACACGAATTGTAAACAACAACAAATCGTGACGTCTTTGTGTTTCTACGTAAGATTCTGAGGTAAAATAATAATTACCTTATACACAAGAATTGTAAACAACAACTCGTGACGTGTTTGTGTTTCTACGTGAGAGTCTGAGGTAAAATAATAATTACCTTATACACACGAATTGTAAACAACAACAAATCGTGACGTCTTTGTGTTTCTACGTAAGATTCTGAGGTAAAACAATCATTCAAAATCAAAATAATCATTACCAAATACACACAAATTGATATCGTTAATATAATTCGTTTCATCTTCTTTGGTTCTTTCGGTAAAGTCACGTAGAATGATAATAAAATAATAAATTGATAAAATAAAATAACACAATAATCGTGAGAATATTACCGAAAGAACCAAAGAAGATGAATCATTGCAGTCACGAAAGCTTTAAATCGAAATATAATTCGTTTCGTTAACAGACGCACAAAGAGATGCGTTAATTGATGTTTACGTTAAGACGTTAGATATTAACTGAGGTAAAGTTATCGTCGAGGACTTATAAAATTTAAAAAGTAAAATTTTTGTTGTATTTCTCGTGCGTTTTAAAAGAAAACGCTAAAAAAGGAAAATGAAACGCGATGTTTGTCGCGAGATTAAGGCGAAATTAAAATAAATGGTGAGTGCTTTAAATACATTGCTGTTGCGTTAACTTTATGCCTTGAGGTTTTGGATATGCGTGGTGACGTCATCACGTATGGGACGTTCGGGGACGCAGTGCGTCCTGACGTCTTTACGTACGCCGGTACGGGTGGGGGGTGCCGATGACGGCTGTACGATTGCGTGATGACGTAACCGCGTCGACAAATATGCAATGACGTCATCACGCAAGACCACGCGCACCCCGTCCCCTCCGTCGCGTGACGTCACGACGCATACAAGCAGTCCCCCCCCCCTCTAAACAGCCGTACGATTATGTGATGACGTTAAACGTCGATGATACGTCATTACGTCAACACGCAAGACCACGCGCCGTCCCATCACCGTCGGGTGACGTCACGACGCAGCCCAACAAGACCCACCAAATAGCAGCTGCACTGTGACGCCATAACGTCGATAGTGCGGCGTGACGTCTTCGCGCCACACGGTGACGTCGCCATTATAAAGGCGGGAAGGAGGAAGCCGGCCGCCATTGGGTCGTGAGGGGGAATTTGAAGGGAGTAGCAGTGGTGGAAGCAAACAGCCACTCTCATCACAGAGAGACTCTCCTCTCCTCACAGAGACTCTCATCACAGAGAGACTCTCCTGATTCACAGCGACTCTCCTCACAGAGACTCTCATCACAGAGAGACTCTACTCAGAGAGTCTCATCACAGAGAGACTCTCCTCACAGAGAGCGACTCTCCTCAGACAGTCTTCTCACGGAGAGAGCCTCTGCTCACAGAGAGAGACTCTGCTCACAGAGAGACTCTCATCACAGAGAGACTCTCCTCACAGACAGTCTCCTCACAGAGATACTCTCATCACAGACACTCCTCACAGAGAGACTCATCACAGACAGTCTCCTCACAGAGATACTCTCATCACAGACACTCCTCACAGAGAGCGACTCTCCTCACAGACAGTCTCCTCACTCACAGCGACTCTGCTCACAGAGAGACTCTCCTCAGAGAGTCTCATCACAGACGAGGGTGACGAGGTGGAGTCTTAAGACGAGGTGGAGTCTTAAGACGACGACGCGGAGGAAGAGGAGGAGGAGGTAGAGGAGGAGGAGTAGGTAGAGGAGGAGTAGGTAGAGGAGGAGGTAGAGGACGAGGAGGAGGAAGAGGAGGAGGACGAGGAGGAGGACGAGGAGGAGTAGGTAGAGGACGAGGAGGAGTAGGAGGTAGAGGAGTAGGTAGAGGACGAGGAGGAAGAGGAGGAGTAGATAGAGGAGGAGGAGGTAGACGAGGTAGAGGAGTCGTAGTAGCCGCCGCGATGCCTTCCCTGCTGTGCTGTGGGCCCAAGCTGGCAGCTTGCGGAATCGTGCTCAGCATTTGGGGCATCGTCATGCTG